TGAGTGGACCTTATACTCCACATTATCCACTGCGGCGACTTGGAATGCTTGGGCGTGTTGGACTACTTGGAGAGAGTGGCCCCACATGTCTTTGGCGTTCGGTTGCGCGCTACGAGACCCACCGAGGCGGCAACCGATTGGCCTCAACGACTCGCGTGGTGCAAACCGAAGGCTTGGCCATCGGCATGGTGCACGACATCCAGTGGCCCGGGCCCAGGATAGACACCGGCCCGGACGGCGACAAGCTGCACTTGCCCGCAGGGTCTGCCAGAGACACAGTGGTGCGCAAGTTCAAGCAGCCGGTGCACATAGTGGTCTTCGGCGACACCCACGAGGAGTTGGTGTGCTACTCGGACGGGGTGTGGCTGGTCAACCCTGGCAGCCCAACCTATCCGGGCCGTCGCCACCATCCCGGCAACCTTGGAACCGTGGGACTGCTGGAGTTGGACGGAAGGACTGCCAGCGTCGGGTTGATCGACTTGGAGAATACCCTCTGACCGGGGTCTTGCCCCCTCAGGCAGTCCCTGCTCCGGTTATGCTAGGTTGATGAGGGGGGTTGCCTTCAGGAACACGGGCGCGAACACCAGCGACACAATGGCCATCAGCTTGAGCAGGATGTTCAGCGATGGCCCAGATGTGTCCTTGAACGGGTCTCCGACTACGTCGCCCTCGACTGCTGCTTTGTGGGCATCGGACCCCTTGCCGCCGAAATTCCCCAGCTCAACGTACTTCTTGGCGTTGTCCCACGACCCGCCCGCCGATGCCATCATTATCGCCAGCATGAACCCGGAGGAAACCGCTCCGATGAGCAATCCGCCCAATGCAGCCTCCCCTAGAATGAACCCTGTGGCGATGGGAGCTACGACGGCCATCACCCCGGGCAGGATCATTTCCCGCAACGCGCTCCGCGTGCTGATGTCCACGCAACGGGCGGAATCGGGCTGGGCGGTGCCTTCCATCAAGCCGGGAATCTCCCGGAACTGGCGTCTGACTTCGTCCACGATTCCTTGGGCGGCGCGTCCCACCGCCTGCATCGTCAGCGCCGAGAACAGGAATGGCAGCATGGCGCCGATGATCAAGCCGACCAGTATTTGGGGTTGCAGAAGGTTGATGCCGGCGGAGCCCGTGGCCAGACGCCCATCCTCACCCAATGTAATCAGCTTGGCGCTGACCGAGTAGGCTGCCAACAATGCTAAGGCTGTAAGCGCGGCGGAGCCTATTGCGAACCCCTTGCCAGTTGCCGCCGTGGTGTTGCCAAGGGCGTCCAGCGCATCGGTGCGTTCCCTCACTTCGGGGTCCAACTGGGCCTGTTCCGCGATCCCGCCCGCATTGTCGGCCACCGGGCCGTATGCGTCGGTTGCCAAGGTAATCCCCAGTGTGGAAAGCAACCCGACTCCGGCCAACGCAACTCCGTAGAATCCGGCAAACCAGTAGGCCAGCAGTATTGCCACGGACACACAAACTACCGGAATCAGGGTACTGAGCATACCGGTGGCGATACGGCTGATAATAACGGTCGCTGCCCCTGTCTGCGAGGACTCGGAGACCCGCTTCGTGGGCATGTAGCTGTACGACGTATAGTACTCCGTCGCAAGTCCGATAATCGTGCCCGCTACCAAGCCTGCAACCACGCAGCCAAACCAGGACCAGTAACCGGTGAAGGTAATGGTCAGGATGGCCGCGAAGACTATCAACAGTCCTCCGGCAGTGAATATGCCGTACCGCAGTGCCCATAGCAGCCGTTCAAAATCGGCCTGCTCACCGCTCCTCACCACGAAGGGGCCCAGTATTGCGGCTATGATGCCTGCCCCTGCTAAAAGCATGGGGAATACGGATTGGGGATCGGTGTAACTGCCTCCGCTGGCGCCCACTGCCAAGGCTACGGCGCTGGCCGACAGGGCTACGGCGGAGATTATGCTGCCTACGTAAGACTCGAACAGGTCCGCGCCCATGCCGGCTACGTCGCCCACGTTGTCGCCCACGTTGTCGGCGATGACTCCAGGGTTGCGCGGGTCGTCCTCAGGAATCCCCGCCTCTATCTTTCCAACCAAGTCTGACCCGACATCGGCGGCCTTGGTGAAGATGCCTCCGCCGACCCTGGCGAACAGGGCGATGGAGCTTGCGCCAAAACCGAAGCCGGCGACTGCGCTGATGTTCTGAAATACCAAGTAGAGAGTGGTTACGCCCAACAGACCGATTCCCACCACCGTCACGCCCATCACGGTGCCACTGGAGAAGGCGACGCGCAGCGCGGGGTTAAGACCTCGTTGGGCGGCGGAGGCGGTCCTGACGTTGGCTCGCACCGCGACGTTCATGCCAACTATGCCGGCCAGGCCGGAGCAGATGGTGCCGGCCACATAGGATATGGCGGTGGCGGGTAAGCCTAGGTTGTGGGTAAACAGGGTGTAGTCGAGAATGGCCAAGGCAACGGTTACAATCAGGGCAAAGGGCAGGAGCGTCATATACTCCCGCCTGAGAAAGGCGTTTGCTCCTTCTTGTATTGCGTTTCCTATCGCTTGGACTTGGGCTGTCCCCTTGTCTGCGGATAGGACCCGGGCTGCGGTGACGGCGGCGAAGGCCAAGGCTAAACCGCCGGCACCAAGGGCTAGAATCATAGGTATCATAGCCTATCCTTAATCGTGGCAAAAACCGCCTGTTTTGAGGCGTGCGAAACTTATCATACCCCTTACACGGGCGTCAAGCAAAACCGGAGCCGCGATAGGTGCGGCTGCTTCTCCCTGTCCGATTTAACGCAGAGGACGCGGAGTTTCCTGATATTTGACAGCTTCAACCAGAAGACTCTGCGCTCTTTGCGTTGAACGGGTCATTCCACAGGCACATTCGACGCCTACCTGTGGCTGGCTCGTGCTATTATGGCGTACGAAACCAGACAGCCATAGACTTCGGTCATTGCGCAACGTTTGGAGGAAACATTTCCATCCTTAGGAGGACACATCAAGATGGCCACAAGCGCCCAAACCTGGAGCGAAGAGATAATTGAAGCAGCGGGGGGGCCGGTCCAATTAGCAAAGGGCGGGCAAGGAGAGCCCTTGCTGATATTTCACGACGAGATAGGCGACCGCACTTGGTTGAACTACCATCAACAACTGGCCCAGGACTACAACAATCCTTGTTGACCACTCCCATTCCGGCGTCGTGCTAAGCGCAACGCGGCCGAACGGATTGTGTAGATGCGGGACCTGCAGGTGGTATCCGGAGTGATGGATTCCGACTGGGGTGGCCAGTCAACGCCATCGGCTTTTCTATGGGAGGCTGGCTGGCTGCTGAGATCGCCAGCATGTGCCCCCATGCGTTCAAGAAGTTGGCGCTGGTGGGGCCAATGGGGATTCGTCCGCCCACCGGGGAGATATATGACATGTTTCTTGTGGTGGCGAAACAGGTCATCGCCGCCGGTTTTCTCAATCCCGACAGCGTGCCCGAGTTCGCCGCCCTGTGCCCCGATGAGCCGACTCCGGAGCAGATCGACATTTGGGAGGACGCCAGGGTGGAGGCCAGCAGGCTGGGTTGGAGGCCGTACATGCACAACCCCAGCCTTCCCAACCTGCTTCACCGGATCAAGTCTATTCCAACCCTCATTATCTGGGGCCAGCAGGACGGCATTGTGCCCGTGAGTGCGGGCCAAGTCTATCAGGAGTCCATTAAAGACTCCCGATTGGCTGTAGTCGAAAATTGCGGCAACCGGGTTGAGGTGGAGAAATCCGACGAGTTCGTGCGACTCGTCAAGGACTTTCTATCGGCCTGATATCCGCCGCCACGGTTCAGGAACAACGGTGGTATAATCGAGCGAAATTGGCCCCGCAGCGCTGAGGCGCGGCAGTTGGGCTGAGAGGCCGCCCTAAACAAAGGAGGTTACGCATGTTTATTGGCTATTTCACTGAACGGCCTTATCAAGACCCCAAGTCCGGCTTCTTCGGCGCAACCGGCAAACCTATCATGGACTTGACGGTGAGCAACGAAATCTACGACGCCAAGCTGGGAGCCAGCCTTTACAACCGTTACTTGGACGAGAAGATTTACGCCGAGCAGATGGGCTTCGACGGCTTGATGCTGAACGAGCACCACGGCACCGCCTTCTGCATGGGCGGGGCAATGAACGTGGAGGCCTCCATCCTGGCCCGGATTACCGAACGAGCCAAGATAGTCCTGCTGGGGAATATTCTCCCCCTATGGGACGACCCCCTATGGCTGGTTGAGCAGTTGTCCATGATCGACATGATTTCCCACGGACGGCTGGTTTCTGGCTGGGTGCGTGGCACCGGACGGGAAAGCGTAGCCCATAATATAGAACCGCACTACAACTGGGAGCGTTTCCAGGAAGCCCACGAATTGATCGTGAAAGCTTGGACCACCCCCGGCCCCTTCCGCTGGGAGGGCAAACACTTCCACTACCGCCACGTCAATCCCTGGGTCAAGCCCTACCAGACGCCCCACCCGCCTATCTGGTTGCCAGGAGTAGTGAGCCGCGACTCGCTGATGTGGGCTGCGGAGAAACGCATTCCCTACATCATGCTGGCTACCGAAATGGAGCCGACCAAGCAGGCGTTCCAGCTATACCACGATTCCGCCGCCGAGATGGGCTACCAGTCGGGACCTCAAAACCTTGGCTACCTTTGGAAGGTGCACGTCGACGAGACCGAGGAACTGGCTGAGCAGACGGGTCGGAAATACGTTCAAGGCCCCAGTAATCCCTTCCTGGCAGGCAACGAAGGCACGGTGAACCCCGCCTTGGTCAACCTGCCTGGTCTGACATCCCGCAGGAGGGTGCTGCCCACCCAAGCAGTGGCTACCGCGGCCCGCGGCGGAGGCGGAGGCGTTGCCGGCGTGTTGGGCCGGCCCTACGAGCAGCAGATCGCAGATCACACGATCATCTGCGGCACTCCCGACACGGTAATCCCGAAGATTCGTCACGTCCTGGAGTACATCCGCCCCGGAAGCATCTTCTTCTGGGACGGCGACGGCGCCATGACTCACGACGATGCTATGCGCAGCCTGCGGTTGATGGGCCAGGAAGTCATACCGGCGGTTCGCGAAATGGCAAAGGAGTTGGAGCTTCCCGGCCCCTTCGAGGTGGATCCCGCCACGGGCAAGTCTCTCGTCCCCAATGGAGGAATTCCTGAATCCAATTCCCAGGAAGCCGCCGCTTAACCGGCCCGGTCTACGACACTTTTATTGGGACACGTTGTCCTGGTGAACAATGGGCAAGAATACCGGCGCTATTCCGTTTCCGGAATGGCGCCGGTACTTTTTCCTCACGACGTTGACCTTGGTGGAGCTTGATTGACCGCCCAAGATATACAGACAAGTGTCCTCGTAATCGGCGGAGGGCCCGCTGGGAGCACAGCGGCGGCGATGCTGGCCCGTCAAGGCTTGGAAGTAACCCTCTTGGAACGGGAGCGTTTCCCCCGGGACCATGTCGGCGAGTCGCTGCTGCCGGCCAGTATGCCTGTTCTGGAGGAATTGGGCGTGCTCGGCGCGGTGCAAGAGGCCGGGTTCGTCCCCAAGTTCGGGGCGACTATGTCATGGGGCCGCGACCGCACTCCTTGGAGTTGGTACTTCGGAGAAACCAACGCCAAGTATCCCCACTCCTACCAAGTATGGCGCCCCCTGTTCGACCAAATCCTGTTGGAGAACTCTCGTTCCCTGGGTGTCGATGTGCGCGAAGGCCATCGGGTGGTGGAGGTTATCTGGGACGGAAAAAGAGCTGCCGGGGTACGCTTCCGGACGGAGGACGGGCACACGGGCAGCGTCCGCGTAGACTTCGTCGTTGACGCCAGCGGACAAGCTGGGCTGTTGAGCAGGAGTCTGGACCTGCGGCGTTGGGACACCTTTTTTCAAAACCTGGCAGTGTATGGATACTTCATCGGAGGCCGTCGGCTTCCGGGTTCCGACGACGGCAACATCTTCATCGAGTCTTACGAGCACGGCTGGCTTTGGACCATCCCCCTGAACAACGGCTGGAACAGCGTTGGCGTAGTGGCCGACAGTGAAACAGGCCAGCGTCTCATAGCTAAACATGGCCTCAAGGGATTTTTCGATTCCCAGATCGTTCAAGCGCCCTACACCGCGGGGTTGCTCACCGGAGCCGCCTTGGCATCCGGGCCGTTCATAGTGAAGGACTGGTCTTACGTCTGCGATCCGTTGACGGGAGACGGCTATGTTCTGGCGGGCGACGCCGCCTGCTTCGTGGACCCTCTTTTCTCTTCGGGGGTGCATCTTGCCCTGATGTCCGGTGTGCTGGCGGCGGCATATGTGAAGTCGGCGTTGACCGACCCGAGCATAGCTGAGGAGGCCGGGCAGGCTTATCAAGAGCTATACCTTAGGGAGTATAGCCACTTCAGGGAAATGGCCCGGCTGTTTTACTCCAGCAACCTCACGTCAGATTCGTACTTCTGGGAAGCCCGGCGGATACTGGATACCGGTGACGCCTTCTCTCCCCGGCAGGCCTTCATTCAAGCTGTGGCGGGCCAACCGCCGCGAGGTTATGAACGAGCGGTCCTGGAGCACGGCCAAGCACCGGAGAGCTTCGCTTCCAGCGTCCAACAAGTGGAGGCGGACCGGGTGCAACGGAGGGACCGCTGGAAAGACGCCATTTCCACCGTCCAACGCCAACAACAATTGCTTGCCGCCGTTCCCCGCTTGGCCGACGGGGCGTCGATACAACGTAAGCCGGTATTGGGGGCCGGGGAGTTCGTATGGGGTTACACTCTCACCACCAACAGTCAACCGGAGGGGACTCCATGCAGTAACTTGGTTGCCCAACTGGTCTCTCGCATCGATGGCGTGGCAACCGTAGGGCAACTGATGGCCCAACTGGGCTCTCTGGTGGAAGTTGACAGGATCGAGGACTTACAGCGAAATGTCCTGGCCACGCTGCAAATCCTGTACGTGGACGGGACGGTGGACGAACTGGCCGGATTGTGATGGCAAACCGGGTTGTGTCACAGGATTCTCCGGCGTTATATTGGCGTTCCCATCAACGGAATTTCCCATGGTAGCCACAACGAGGGACAAAGGCCCATGCCCAACATCAAGTTCCAGACCATACTGCCCGCGGCTCCGGGCCAAGTCTTCGAGCACATTACGTCATTCCCTGCCGACGGCAGCTTCAACCAAGCCGGCTTAGAGACAGCCTACGGCAGGTTGGTGGAGCGGGACGGGGACACGTTTACTTTCGAAGACCGCTCCGAAGACCACATAAAGTGGGCCTGCACCTTCGATCCGCCCGGCGGGCGCATTATGAAGGCGTTGGAGTCCAAGTGGGCCGACCGATTCGACTGGTTCGAGGAGGCGCCCGACGGCACTCTTTGGACCGTCGTATGGGTGCCGAAGGCCTCCGGGTTTACTGGGTTAGTCCAGTGGATAGGCGTCAAGTTGAGAGGCAATGCAAAGATATATCAAAGCGTAGTCGCGCCGGCGGTGCGCCATTTCCAGGAACCGCCGCCTACTCCAACCCCAGCGCCTGAGAGGCCCACCCACAGGCGCACAATGAGCCGTCGCGGCCGCAGGGGCCGGCGCCAGAGTTGATAGACTATCTCAAAACCTGACCCAGTATCCAACCCGGTCATTCCTGCCCAACACCCATCGTTCCCGCGCAGGCGAGCATCCCTATCCCCAACCCGTCATTCCCGCGCAGGCGGGAATCCATGCGCGTCTACGTAAAGTAACGTTGCCCTCGGCCAATGACTCTGGATTCTCGCCGCGCCTCAACTGGCCGTTACACCTACACTCCGCCCATCGTCCGACGACTCCCGTATCGCGTCCAGGAACCTGTGAAGGTCTACCGCCGTATCGAAGTTGGTGTCGCAGGCTTGGCCGGACCGGATAGCCTGCCCGAACAGGTAGTACATTTGCCCAACGTTGTAGGGCGCTCCTTGAGGCATGCCTTCCAGAACGTGCACATGGCGGCCGGGTATCTCCAACTCGCGCAAGGTCTGGTCACCGGCCTTGGCGCCCCGGATTCTTAGCTCGTTTAGCTGCGGTGAGTCGTCGGAATCCGCCACCAACGTCCCCTCTCGCCCGTAAACCTCCATCCTCCAACCACTGCCTGCCCACGGAACGCTGGCCACGTGTACCGATGCCACTCCGCCGTTCGCCAGTTTGCCGCTGACCAGGATATTGTCCGGGGCGGTGACATCCACATACTGCTTGGTGTCGGTCTCAAACCATTGCGGGGCTTGGGTGGACACAACCGAAGACACGTCGCTGAAATCTCCAACCACGTATCGTAGCGCGTCGATAGAGTGGCCGCAGGCGATGGTGAGGGTGGTCGCTCCCAATGAATCATCCCGTTGCCATGTGCGGTCCGAGGTGCGCTCCAGGACTCCCCCGCGGGCCAGGCTCATGTGGCAGGACATTACCTCGCCCACGTAGCCCGTCTCGACTAACTCCTTCATGTAAGTCACCCCGGGCGCAGCCCTCGCTTGCAGCCCCACCATCGTTTGCACCCCCTTGGCCCGGCCAAGGTCGGCAAGCTCCTGCGCCTCCGCCAGCGTTGCCCCCAAGGGCCATTCGGTGAATACGTGCTTGCCGGCGTTGAGTGCATCCAGGGTCAATTGGTAGTGGTTGGGAACTCTGACCACCACTGCCACTGCGTCTATCTCGGGGTGGGCCAGCATGTCCCGGTGGTCGTGGAAAGCGTACTTGGCGCCAAACTTGGCCGCCGACTCCTCGGCGCTTTCCCTCCGGGTGGTGCACACGCCGGTTAACTCGAACTCCGGGCTGGCCAGCAGCGCCGGAAGATGGGACCTATGGGCCCAGCCCACGCTCACGTTGGCCCCTATGACGCCCAGCCGAATCTTTTCAGATGCCATCACTTATCCTCCCGCTAATTCAGGGTCGGTTTCCCTTATCCTAACATCCGGCTCTTGCCGGGGCCATGCTCCGGTTTCCTGTATCTTCGTATATAATCTCCTTGAACAAATTCCGTTAGCTCATCGTTATTCCGGCCTTGAGCCGGAATTTATAGGAGGTAACCATGGCAGGAGCGTGGGAGACTATCAAGGTCGATGGCTCGGACATGCGGATGTACGTCAGCATACCCGAAGGTGCGGGGCCGTTTCCGGCAGTGCTGGTCAGCCAGCACGGGCCTGGCGTCAACGAGTTCATCCAGGACGTAGTCAACAACCTGGCCAAGGAAGGGTACGTCGGTTGCGCCCCCGACCTGTACCATCGGGTCACCGAAGAGATGCTGGCCGATGGCTCCGGTCCCGGTGAGCACATGACCGACACCGGCTCCGTCAAAGACCTGAACGCCACGGTGGACTATTTGAGAAGCCACCGGTCCGTAGATGGCGAGAGATTGGGAATCACCGGATTCTGCCAAGGCGGCAGGACGACATGGCTTGGCGCAGCCTCCAATCCTCACTTCAAAGCGGCGGTTCCGTTCTTCGGCGGCAACATCATGGTTGCCAGGGCTGACGCCGACAAAAGCCCCTTTGAGCTCACCCCCAACATCAAGTGCCCGGTACTGTTCCACTTCGGAGGGATAGACACCAACCCGTCGCCGGAGGACAAAGCCACCTTCGACGCGGAATTGACCCGGTTGGGAATTCCTCACCAGTTCTATAGCTATCCGGAGGCCGACCACGCTTTCATGGACTACAACCGCCCGCGGTACCACAAAGAGTCCTCCGAGATCGCTTGGCCCAGGACCCTGGAGTTTTTCGCCGCTCATCTCAAGGCCGTAGCGGTCAGCTAACCGCCTTAGACTATCGTGACACACACCGTCAATCGTCATTCCGGCCTTGAAGCTGGAATCTAGGGGAACAGAATGCGCTTTGGCAGCTTCGTTTTTACTATCAGCGGCGACCCTGACAACGACCAACACGTCATCGAACGGACACTGCACGAGGTGGAACTGGCCGAAGAGGTCGGGTTGGACGCCGTTTGGCTGACCGAGCATCACTTCGACGGCGCGGTCGCCTACGCCGACCCGGTGGTGTTCGCAGCTGCGGTTGCAGCCAGGACCAGCCGTATTCGCATCGGGTTCGCCGTAGTGGAAATGGCGTTGCACCACCCGGTGCGGCTGGCGGCCCAGACCGCCCTTCTGGACAACCTCAGCAAGGGTCGCCTCATCATGGGAACGGGCCGCGGCTCCGCTTTTAACGAGTACGAATACATCGGCTTCGGGCAGTCCATGGAAGACAGCCGGGAAATGCTGCCCGAGGCTGAGGAGCTTCTGATGAAGGCATGGACCGAGGAAAACGTCCATCACCAAGGACGGTTCTGGCACGGGGCCTTTCCTCTCATAAGGCCCCGTCCCTACCAGCGCCCCCATCCCCTCATGGTCCGCGCCTGCATCAGCGAACCTTCCATGAGGGAAATGGCCAGGATCGGGCGGCCCGTCCTGATCGGGGTCCAGACCATAGAGACCCTGAAGCAGCGGCTCCAACTATACCGGGGACACCATGGTGGAAACCGGGTTTACCGATGATGCAGTGGAGGCGACGCTGGACCAGTGCTGGGCCCAACGGGGTCTATGTATCCGCGACAGCGACGAGGAAGCCGTAGCTATCGCTTCCGAGGGCCTCGGCCGCTACCGCAAGCACCTGATGGACGCACGAATCATGTACAACCCCGGAGGCGTTCCCCAGGAGGAGATAGACACCCCCAGGTTCCCGGCGGAGTACGTGGAGCACGCCTTTCTGGCCGGCACCCCGGAGACTGTGGCCGAGGGGGTCCATCAGTTGAAGCAGGCAGGAGTCCGCAACCTTATGCTCAACTTCAACGTTGGCGAGTTGACGGCTGAGCAAGTCGAGAACTCGCTGCGCCTGTTCGGCAGCAAGGTATTGCCTCAATTCAGCGACTGACGCGGGACGGGCCGGAATGAAAGCAAGCCAGATGTTCGACTTGACCGGGCGGGTAGCCATAGTCACCGGCGGCAATGGTGGCCTGGGCCTCGCTATGGCCTTGGGGTTGGCCGGGGCGGGCGCCAACATTGTCGTTGCCGCCCGCAACGCGGAAAAGACCGCCCAAGCCTGCGCCGAGATCGAAGCCTTGGGCACGAGAGCGGTTGGGCTTGGAGTTGATGTCATACAGGAAGCGGACATCTTGCGAATGGTGTCCCAGACTATAGAGGCTTTCGGCAGGGTCGATATCCTAGTGAACAACGCCGGCATGACGGTGCGCAAGGAACCCCAGGATCTGGAAACAGGGGAATGGGACCAAGTATTGGATGTCAACCTGCGGGCCGCCTTCCTGGGAGCCAGAGCCGTCTATCCCCACATGAAGAGCCAGGGCGGGGGCAAGATAGTCAACATCGGGTCCATGTTCTCTATCTTCGGGGGCGGCGGCAGCGGCGCACCCTACTCGGCCAGCAAGGGCGGCATTGTGCAGTTGTCCAAGAGCCTTGCGGTGGCGTGGGCCAAGGACAACATCCAGTCCAACGCCATTCTGCCCGGCTGGTTTATGACCGACCTCACCGCAGCCGTCCCGGAGCAGCAACCGGAGCGGTACGACCTCATCAGCCGCCGCATCCCCTACGGCCGCTGGGGAGAGCCGGAGGATCTGCAAGGGGCAGCAATCTTCCTGTCAAGCTCGGCGTCGGACTATGTGACCGGCGCGGTCCTGACGGTAGATGGGGGCTACTCGGTGACGTAACCGCCATTGGATAGCACTCGCGATAACCGGTCTGGTTATTCGCTTCGCTTCATCCGGCGGTATGGGTAGCTGCGGTGGTCGGGGTACATGTCAATAATAAAATCGCGCATGTACCGGCCTATGGAGTCCAAGGACATCAATTGCTGGTACAACTCAGCCGGCACTCCTTCATTCCACCAAGTGCGTCCGCTATTGAATACGGCCACCAATTCCTGTGTGTCCGGGTCGTAACCCACCGCGTAGAGCATACTGGAATCCACGGTCACGAGGTTCATCCCCGTCGCCTCCACACACTTCAACCCCGACGATCATAGTCTTCCGTGTTCACGGGACTCCCAAGCCCGGTGTCCTACCGGCGTTACCCCACCTGCGCCAACGCCTGTCGTGACAACATCATCTTCACCGGGCTGATGGGCCTGAATGTCCGTGAAACCCGCACGTCCCCGGCGACGCTGAGCAGCGTGTAGGCGTCGTAGGGCGCCATGCCTTTTTCCTTGACAAGGAAGTCCACCATGTCCCGGACCGACTGCCTCATGGCCGGACCCAGGTCGTCGCCGTGAGACAGGATTACGAAGTAGTCGGGAGTTATTGCCCTGGGACCGGCAATGTTCATCCCCTTCTCCACTGTGACCCTGACGTGGGCGTCCGCTGAGCACTCCGCCCCGGTGCCAGCCACCGCACCGTCTCCCACCACAGCGTGGCAATCGCCCATGGCCAGCAGACCGCCGGGGACGAATACGGGGAGATAAAGGGTGCTTCCCTCGACCAGTTCCTTGAGGTCTATGTCGCCGCCGTAGGGGCCGCTGTCGCTGGCGGTGTTTTGTGGGTATGTGGGAGTGGTCGCCACCAGTCCCATCGATGGGTTCAATGGCAGCCTTATGCCGCTGGGCAGCACCGCGTGGCCGTCCTTGAGATCAATAATCGTAGGATATGCTTCGGTGAACTCCTCATCCAGGAATCCCCGGCCCGGCATGACCATGTGTGCGGCGGTCTCCTTGGGGGTGATGCTGATAAAGTCTATTTTCAGGGCATCCCCGGGTTCGGCCCCGTTGACGTAGATGGGTCCGATGGCCGGGCCTTTCAACGAGCGGGCGTCGATGACCGCCGGGTCCCGCTCACCCTCGAAGGCGTCCCAAGTCTCGATGAGGAATTCCTCACCCGAGTCGATGGTTAAAGCCGGAGTTGCGCCCGGTTCCAACACGTATATCTTGTGCTCTCTACTCAGCTTTTGCATCCCGATGCCTCCAAATCTCGCGTCGCCACTCCCCATCCTCAATGATGGCGAACGAGGAGCTTTCGATGTTTATTGAAAAGAGATGGTATTCCGGCTCTTGCGGCATGAAACCGATTTTATCGTAAAGGGCGGCAGAGTAGCGCCTGCGGATATCCAAGTCTGTCACTTCGACAGCACGCCCGTATATCTTGAACTCGCCCTCCATACCGCTCTTGTCGGATACTGCGTTGTGGAGGCTGTAGCGGGAGTCCCGCAGCAGGTCCAGTGCCTTTCGAGACCGCCACATCATGCCAAGGTACAGGTGGCCGTGGGCAATCAGGAACTCTGCCGGACTGATTCGGGGCCAGCCGTCACTCCTTAGAGTGCCCAGCAGGACCAACCCCGTTCGTTCGAACCGCTCTTCCCCCAACGCGGCAAGCGCCGGAGCGTTGGCTTTGAACTCTTCCCAAGTCAATCCGATAGCCCTCTCTAGAATCGACACCCGAGGCTATAGGGTACTCTGCCTCCAGGACACCCCGGCATCCGGGTCCAGGTCCACGACGGTTACTTCTGCCAAAGGGTTGTTCTGGGACGAGCCTCGGGCGGTTCCCGAATAGACCGCCGTCACATCTCCTTGAGACACGTCGACATGCCTGTCCCAATGCCCCAACGCCAAGTAGTCGCAAGGGGCCTGCGCTATTTCCAACGGATAGATAGGGGACGAGCGCCGGTCCAGATCATCATCATAATGGAAATGGCCGTGGGCCAATGCCACCAGCCAATGGTCTTCCCCGTTGTCCGGCATTCCTTCAAGGGGATGGAATTCCGGCGTGTGGCTCGGCATGGCCCTGCCCCACACCTTCAAGGTCAACTCTGGGAAGATGATGGTCTCCCCGCCGGCTTGGCTGATGATGTGCAGGTTGTCCGGCTTGTGGCGGAACGCCGGTCGCAAGTAAACGGAACCGTCGTGGTACAGGTCATGGTTGCCGGGAAGTATCACCGCTGCGCAGGACCCGAGACGGCTTATCTCCTCCAGGAACGTCTCGATCACGTCGTCGGAGATCCGGTCGTTGTCGAAAATATCGCCAGCCAGCAGGAGAATGTCTCCCTCTAAGCGCGGCGCTGCTTCTACCACCGCTCTTAGTGCTTCGAAGGCTAGAGGATGACCTGATTGGTCGCCCAGATGAAGGTCCGACGTGTGCACCAGCCTTACTTTCTTCTTTACAGACACCACGGCTCCTTTGATGATGCGGCAACCTGTAAACAGGTCTTACCAGTTAGGTTACGAGATTAACCAAAGGTCTTACCTGCGGGATTAAACTAAAACCAAGATAGGACACACTCAACGCCAGCACCTCTTCGACTCCAAGACAGGCTAATCAAGTTCCCCACAAATTTATCCCATGCTTCTGTGCATTTCACCCTTGGCTTAGGACACAAACCACATCAAACTTCTACCTCGTTGGACTGGTCTTCTATCAATGGTGTGATTCGCTCGATGAAGCTCCGCATCGTCTCGGCGATCCCTTCTGCGAATTCGTCGTTCAACGTGTCGACACCCATATCTACGGATACGGATTTCGATTCGATGTGCATATCGGAGTTTATTGTGGCACGTTTGAGGAGGTCGGCGATGTTTTCCCACTCCCCGAATGCTACGAAAGCCCGCCATTGGCCTGCCGGTTCCTGCTGGTGAGGGTATAGATTAATCCGATAAGACACCCCCCAGTTGCTCCACGGTTCATGCTGGTACCAGAAGTGGTAATAGCGCGAATCAGGATAACCCCCTCCCCAGCGGCTGACTCTGTCTGGCCTAATTCCATGCGGTAGCCCGCCTGTGACCAACCGCCCTACATTTCTGAAGAAGTAGGTGACCTCATCGCCTTGGTTTCTCGCATAAGCCCTTTGAAGATTCGTCGCAAAATTGCTACCACTACCGCCGCGATCCGGTTGTCGACTGGGGCCAACACCGATCAGGTAGTCGTCTATTCCAGGTATGGGGATCATGGTGGAAGCCTGTAGGTACAATGCATCGGTCTGCGTATCTTGGTAGGGCGTCAGTTTAATACAGGTAATGAGGTCTTCTCCTAATCCTTTCTGGTTAAGCCACAAGGCGGCGGAGGTAACTTCCGGCGCAAACCGGTGACTGGCAAGGATGATGCGCTGGTCGTTGTTCAAGCCATTTAAGTCATCAGCGTCCAAGTGTTGCAACAGCCGGGTTGCGGCGTCCGTTTCGGATTCATTCCAGTATTCCGCCGCCATTCTGACAATGACGTCAGTGGTGGCACTGTGGAAGTAGCTAGCATACTTGATGGCTTGCCAATGAGCATCGGCACCGGTGTCGTCCCGTTTCAGTTCCACGATGACCAGCCTACCGTTTGAATCCACCGCCAGCAGGTCAAGTCTATCGTTGGTACGGTCGAACCCGCTGAATTCCTTGCCGATTATCAGTAGGTCATCTCCAAGGATGCCAGGGTTTGCCGCCACCCATTCCTGGATGTCTTGTCGTTCTCGCAATCCCAGTCGGCCAAAGTCAGCCTCTTGAATCCTATCCGATTGACGGTTTTCGGGATCGATCCTGAACAACTGAGGTTCGCTACTCATGCGCATCCTACCTTGGCCTTGGCTTAGGACCCGTTGTCGCTAACCCCGATAACTCCCTTTTGCCTCAACTTTTCAATTTGCTCCCTGTCGTAGCCGCATTCAGCCAGAATCTCTTCGTTATGCTGGCCCAACATGGGTGGTGGGCGCCGGATGCTGGGAGGAGTGTCGGCGAGCTTGAGGGGAGAGCCGGGCACCTTCAAGTTGGGCACCCTGGGATGGGGCATGTCCACAATCATGTTGCGGGCGTTGACCTGCGCGTCCTCAATGACTTGAGGCACCCGATTGATGGGGCCGCAGGGCACCCCGGCTTCGGATATGACGTCCACCCAGTGGGCCACCGTGTCGGTCTGGAATATCTCGCTCAGGACACCTACGCATTCGGCGCGGTTCGTCACCCGGTCGGTGTTGGTGCTGAACCTGGGGTCTTCTAGCAAGTCGGCACGGTCGAGACCGCGGCAGAGCCGTTCCCACAACCCTTGGTTGGCGCACCCAAGGATGAAGTAGCCGTCGGACGCCGGGAAACTCTGGTATGGGACGAGGCTGGGATGCCCGGACCCCAACCGCTTCGGTTCCACGCCCGTCGCCAAGTATCCAGTGGCATGATAGCTCATGGTGGCGACTTGGCCGTCCAGCAGGGCCGCTTCGATCCGTTGCCCTTCCCCGGTCTTTTGCCGGTGGTGCAGCGCGGTCAGTATGGAGCCGTAGGCCATCATTCCGGTGAACAGGTCCACGAGAGAGAAACCGACGCGCAACGGCAGACCGTCCGGCTCTCCGGTCAGGTTCATCAAGCCGCTGTAGGCTTGGATGATCAAATCATACCCCGGCTTGTCGGCCATCGGCCCGGTGCGGCCATAGCCCGAAACGGAGCAGTAGATTATTCCCGGGTTTACGGCTCGCACCGCGTCGTAACCCAGCCCCATCCGGTCCAACGCCCCGGCCCGGAAACTCTCGACCATCACGTCGGCCTTGGCGGCCAATCCCAAGACGATGTCTACCGCCTCTTTTTCCTTCAGGTTGACGCTCAAGCTTCGCTTGTTGCGGTTGAATGACAGGAACTGGGTCCCTTCTTCGTTCCAGAAAGGCGTCCAGGAGCGTGTCTCGTCACCAAGATTTGGCTCCTCTATCTTGATGACGTCGGCGCCCATGTCTCCCAGCATCTGGGTGCAGGAGGGGCCGGCCAAAGTGCGGGTCAAGTCTACAACTTTGATGTCTTCCAGCGCGGTAGTCATATCCGATACTCCGAGCCTAGCGGGTTTGATGGGGAAAAAGACTGAACGAAGCTGTCTGCCATGGCGATAGCCGCCCTTCGCCGTCCGTCGGCATTATAGCATGGGGCAGGGAGGACTCCAGCCTCGCTCTGAAACCGGAGACCCTCAGCGTTCCATGAAGGAGTGCTGGAAAGATGCAGAACTACATGAAGCGTTTCTTGCCGGTCTTTTCTTCGAACAACTGCCAAGTGCGCTCGTTGAAGGGGTAGTACTTACCCGGAGAGCACTGCTCTATCTCCAACTGCGCCTTGATTACCTCTTCTACCTCTTCCCGTTGATGAGCTATCGTAGTCACCTCGTCTACCACCGCCCGGGGCACTATCACCACACCGTCATCGTCGCCCACCACTGCGTCTCCGGGACGCACCAGCACACCGCCGCACTGGATAGCGTCGTTCACCTGCCAGGGCCAGAACTCGCCCGGCCCCTGCTTGGCGGTGGTGCTGGCGCTGTAAACAGGAAAGCCGTATTCCTTCAACGAGTTGCTGTCCCTGGCGCCGCCGTCAGTCACCAATCCCCCTACGCCGCGCTGGTGCAGTCGCAGGAACTTGATGTCTCCGCCTATAGAGCTGTAGGCCCACCTCATAGCGTCGATCACCAGCACCTCTCCCGGCCCGCACAGTTCAAAAGCAACGTATTCCGCCGACTGGTCGCCCTTGGGCTTGTCTTCCGCCAAGTTTGTTTTTCCGGGCGATGGGGCACAAAGCGCAGGGTGACGGCCCGTCCGGCCATGTGCTGCCCAAGCTGCAATGGGCGGGCCCCTTCTACGTACCCCATGGGCCACCCCTTGACCCACAACGCATCCACCAGGGTTTGAGTCGGAATCTTTTTCAGGACTTCCAGGGTCCTGTCCGGAATGGGCTGGAACTCCGGCAATTTTGCCTCCCTTAATATGTTCAATCATAGGGTCGATTTGTAGTTGCCCCATTTTATCCGCCGCAATGGATGGTGTATAGAACTGATGACCGGCCCGCGAACGTAATTCAATTGCAGAACTGGTCTCTTACCAATTGCACCGGCGGGTTGGAATCGGTGGCAGCCCGCGAATATAATTGCGCGTACCAATGTTGACGGGCTTGACCGGGCTTACTTCGATGCCGGAGGCGTGAGCGATAGTGAATGAATCGCAAATAGTACCCAATGGACCAACCGGGAAATTACGGCGTCTAGGTCTGGGTTCCGGCTGCTGTCGGGCGCTCTCCTGACGGCGCCTTTAACTGCGCTCCTATATTTGGTGGACAAGCTGGCCGGGTTGCCCTTTGTGCCCTTTGCCCTATTCGACTGGATTGCCAAGGTGTTGCCCGGTTCCGTTGTTACATTTGGCATAGACGCCATGATCGACGGAATGCGGATGCTGGGCATGAGCGTCGCCAGCAGCGCTAAAACGGCGGAGCAGATTGCTGCTACTATCCTGTTTTTCCTTATCGGTGTGGCCATCGGGACCGTGTTTATGGTCGTCTTGAAATCGCGGAATGCCGACCCTTCATTCGGCTACGGCCTGATAGCGATGCGGCCACTGTGGGTGTGCTATGGTGGCGGCGTCAGCTGCATGGGCCCGTCAACGGTAGCAACCTTTGATGATCGGCGTGCGTGCTTACTGGTGCGCTGTCCTCGGTGAGGCTTGGCGTTCATCCCCCTTTATCGTCGCTGTGCTCACGACCACAACCGCTGGCACTTATTTGCGAAAACAAGAGGAACAAATACGCTGTGCACAGCATTAACAGACGCGCAGATTTCTCGTGCGGGTGGGTGCGGCCACCGCTACCATCACGGTGCTGCGGGGCGGCCGATCTGGAGGGGTGTATTGCTAGGAACGGCAGCCCGCGACAGCAGCAAGTCGTGGAGGCGGTGGATACACGTCGGGGAAGCCTTCGTCTTTGAACGCACCAGCCACCATGTCCCAACGACTATAGAGCCTCGTTGAAGCCGGCTCAGGCACCAGGCGAGTACCCGCGGTGAGACCCCATACAAGGTGTTTAATCCCGTTCGGACCCACGGTCATCGACGGTGCAAATTGGGCCCTGCCCCTATACTGTCGACGCAGTATGGTTGAAATCCCTGGTGTTGAC